TGGTTAAGAAAATTTGTAATTTTTTTTGGGGATGACAGGTTATTACCGCAGGTTCATGGAAGAATTTTCAAGGCTAACCGATCCCTTGACTCGGCTTACAAAGAATAATGTCAAGTTTGAGTGAAATAAGACTATGAAAGGAATTTTATAGAACTCAAGAAGTGGTTGACTACCGCACTAGTTTTAACTCTACCAAGTGAGACTATGGATACACAGTATATAATAATGCTTTCTTTCTAGGGTTGGGCTGTGTTTTGATTCAACACAGAAAGATCATAGCTTATGGGTCCAAGAAGTTGAAGGACTGTGAAAGGAATTTTATAGAACTCAAGAAGTGATTGACTACCGCACTAGTTTTAACTCTACCAAGTGAGACTATGGATACATAGTATATAACTTGAAGACCTGACGTCACTACTTGTATGGAGAGACTTGAGATTTATACAAACCATAAGAGGTTGAAGTATATGTTCACTCAGAAGAATCTCAACATGCGTCAGAGGCATTAGATCGAGCTCCTCAAGGGCTACAATTGTAAGATCTTGTATCACCCAGATAAAGGCAAAGTGGTAGTCGACGTGCTCAGCAGAAAAATACAAGTATGTTGGCTCACTTAATGATTTCTGAATATATGGTAATAGGAGCTGAGCAACAAATACGACTTCAGGATTTAAAAAGGGCTACATACTTGGCACATCTAGCTGTTCAACCCGAACTGATTCAGAGAATAAAGAAAATATAATTAACTAATTTCACCCTAGTAGCTCTAAAAAAGGATACAGAATAAGGTCTAGATCTAGAATTTTGAGTTTCTGCAGATGAGATGCTCAGGTTCCAGGACAGAGTATGTGTCCCAGATGATAGTGAACTAAAAAGGGATATTATGACAGAGGCCTACAGCTCAAAGTTTACCATACATCCTGAAAGTACAAAGATGTATCAAAACATACGATCCCGATTTTGGTAGAGCAGGATGAAAAGAAAAATTGCTAATTTCATCTCCAATTATCTTGTATGTCAGCAAATTAAGGCAGAGCATCAATGCTCAGGCAGACTACTTAAGTCATTATCAATCCCAGAGTGGAAATGAGAACATATCACTATGAATTTTGTAATAGGGTTACCTAAGGTGCATTCGGGGCATGATGTCATCTGAGTAATTATTGACCGACTCACCAAGTCATCTTATTTCTTAACCATCAGAATGATCGATCTCTTAGACAAACTAGCAAGAATTTATATTCGGGAGATAGTCAGGCTACATAGAGTTTCGGTGATAATAGTATCTGACAGGGACCTCAGGTTCACCTTTCGGTTCTAATCAAGTTTTCAACAAGCAATAGGAACGAAACTATCCCTCAATACAGTGTTTCACCCTTAAACAGAATGACAGTCAGAATAAACCATTCGCACATTAGAGGATATGCTTAGAGCTTGTGTTCTAGATTTCGGAGGATATTGGGATGATTACATACCTCTGATAGAGTTCGCCTACAATAACAGTTACCAAGTAAGTATCGGCATGGCCTCATATGAGCCATTGTATGGCCGAACTTGTAGGTTATTAATTTGTTGGGAAGAGGAGAACACAGCTAAGATAACTAAATTTAAGAAAAACATCGAGACAATTTAGAGTAAACAAAAGAGTTATGTAGACACCCGAATGAGAGATTTTAAATTTGAGAAGAGCGATCAAGTGTTTCTAAGGTTACCCCATTAAGGGTATTAGTAGATTTAAAAAGAGAAAACGTTAAATCTTCGGTTTATCGGACCGTTTGAGATCTTGGACAGAGTTGGTACATTCGCATACAGACTAGCACTACCTCCAGAGCTATTCAGAGTCCATAATATATTTCATGTGTTTATACTATGCAAGTACAATCCAAATCACTCGCATATCTTGTCTCATGAGTCACTTCCACTCTAGGATGATCTATCTTATGAGAAGGTACCGGTAGGTATTTTGAATTAAAAGAGCAGAGTGTTTCACAATAGAAAGTTCTCCTTTATCAAGGTCTTATGGTATAATCAATCGAAGGACAAGGCCATTTGGAAGGTAGAATCGGACTTCAGAGCCTAGTACCCCTAACTATTTGACTAGTGAGAGAGTGGCAAATTTGATGGACCAAATTTTTCTTAAAAGGGGAGAGTTGTAACACCTGGGCACAAAAATTTGGCATGGGATAATTTAATTGTTACAAAATAATGAATCAAAATGATTTAAATATTTTAATTTTTGTTAATTTTAGAGAAATATAAATTTGGGATGAAATTGAAATTTATCTTGGAAAAACAAGGTGAAACTGTGAAAAATAGATGTGCATTTAAAAGAAATTTTTAAAACATAGGGTCAAATCACAAATAGGAGAGATGTGGACCATGTAGAACGACCATGTCAGCAACAGCGACGAGTTAGAATGTGCTGCATGGCGGACACGCTGGCACCGGTTCCACACGGGAGCCATACGGGCGATCTAATGGCTTAGATCGTATCCCCCATGCATAGATAACCCGGATGCGTTCCCTCTTCAAACATGATCGAACGATTGGATTTGATCAGATCGTGCAGTCCAGATTAATTTCTCAAATAATAGAGATCCAACAACTGAGAATGGGTCACGCCGTCTTAAATGTACGACTCAGATTTAATGAAGAGGAGTATTTAAACTCCTATTCGCAGGGAACTAAAACCCTACTTGATAAAAGGGTGATTAGAGAAGAAGAAGAAGAGATGAGGGTGGGAAAGTTAACCAGACGTTGAAGAAGGAGACCAGCCATCGTTGCTGCTACACCGGAGCCACCACTAATGCTAAAAAAGTAAGATTTTTCTTTTTTCCCCTCGGAATTGAATCTCTAACCTCCCCATGCCCATTTCGGAGCTGAAAGGTTGATGGGTGAGCCGAAAAAAAAGAGCGAAGCTTGGCTGAGCTGTTATAGCCAAAACCCAAAATCTCCTATGATGACCCCCTTCCCGATTCCTGTTTCCCTCAATTTTTTGACCATCGTGTAGCTCGTTTCCTTATTGTGCAGGTTAACCAAAGAAAAACTCAAATCGCAAAAGAGGAACTG